GGTGGCAGCCCTCAGATCCGCGATTTCAGTTCTCCGGCAGCTCGTGTTGAACAGTTCCAGCGTGGCAGGTACAAAACATGGTGTTCTCCAATGACCAGCGGTGCGTTTTCCCGACCAACGACCTCGAACCCCACGGCCAGCACCCCGAGCAGCAGCAATCCACGACAATTTCTTCGTTTCGACACGTTTTGACGTTGACCCACTCTTATTCGGACCCAAATCGGCGTTACCCATCGCTCTTGGTGCCAAGACAGCCAGCCTAACGCTTTTCGAACTCGAATTTGGGAGCCTGAAACCTCCTTGGCGTCTACCCATTTCAAACCCAAGTTGTTTTAGTGAGAGTTAGTAAGTAACGACTCACCTAGACTCGATTTCAATTATATTTAAGTGCTTCTAATTGGTTACTAACCTCGAAATCGTGCTCTTTTTATTATAGGAAGTGTTCAACGAGCTTATGAGCTTTAGGACACTTGTTGGTAAGTAGCACGGGGGTGGGTGTGTGTGTTGGTGTTTATTATTTAGTTGTCAATGTACTACTTATGATGTTTGAAAATGGTTCTGATACAATGTTGTGCGGTGTAACTCTCGTTTATGTTGGTTTGTATGCCTAGGTAGTGTTGAATGTTCGTTGGTGATAATAGTAGAAACTTTGTATTGTTGAGCTGCTGAGATCTGTCGTGGAATGATGTGTGTTTGCAGGGAATATTCGTTAAAATAAATATTATGGTGGGGATGTTTGTTGTCTGAAATCTGTATGAAGCGTTTGGCATGTCTTATGAGTTTTTATTATATCTAGAAATGCTTTATGTTTGCGGATGTTGGATAATGAGTGCTTGGGTGATTTGTGTTGGACTGCTGTCGTTTAAAAATTGTTGACTATGCTCTGTTATAACTGAACTCACTGTGGCGCTGTTGTTAATAATTGATATGTTGTGAAGGCATGTTTGGTTTATTGTTTTGCTATTAGAATGATGTTTATGTTGTGGAAGCATGCTGAATTGTGTTGGTGAGCTGAGAGATGCATTGAAATCATACTAGTGGTAGTGTTGTTGACGAGCGTTGTGGTGGTTGGTGTTATTAGGGAATTAGTACTGGAATCTTGGTTGGAGGCTAGAAATGATATGTGGGGTTTTGGAAGTTATGAAGTGAATGGGTGAGTGTCAGGGCCTCGGGTATAAATGGTCGGGGGCGGATACGTCACTAATTGGGTATCGAGGCCTCGGGTATAAATGGTCGGGGGTCGATACGCCAATATTGGATAA